GCCCGGCCCTATAAAAAAACTTCTGAGATATTTTATACTTAGAGCCTATGTCAGTTTAGACTAGCCACATTCAACTGCTCCATAGCCACGTGTGGCTAGTGGCCATCCATATTTGAACAGTGAACTTTTAGACTATTGCATCTATATACACTTGTCTTGTGCCTCACCTGGGGGTGTGTGTGTGAGTGTGTGTGCACCAAGGCAGTGACCATCTGAGCTTCCCAAACTCAGAGAGCAGGATGCCCTGCCTTGAATTACCATTTCCCTGTTTATCAGCTGAAGAATCTTTACCCACTTTGACACATGGGGATTTGTTCTGACCCCAGTGCATGTAGGATTCCAGAGAAGATTCAGTGGACAAACTTAGTACTTTAGAGCTCTTAACGCAACCGCCTAAGGTTACCTGAAAGCAGGCCTCGCCTTGGACAGCCGATTTCCAAGCTGACAATTTTCCCAAGTTGTCCTGAAGCATCTTTCCCAGGAATCACCTGTGTAATTCAGCTCAGGAAGTGTTCAGAGGACTTGCTATACATGCAGGCAGTCTGCATTGTAATTCATACGTGTTTACACAATCATGGGTTGATCTGCTAAAGAGCACCCTTTGAACGATACGGCAGTAATTCATAGTATCTGAAGCAAAAAGACAGTTTTGGAACTTCACTCCAGAGCAGCTGAGTATTTCAGAATCCTCAGTCTGTCCTGCCCCCTAACATCTCATTTCTCTGCTTGGGTCATAGCATCAAACTTCAGCTTTATGCCAAGCACCAGCTGTTTTCTGACCCGTACAGCTGTCCTAGATGAAGGATAGATGATTGGGGTGTACATGTTTGCCTTGGACAGCAAGGAGCAAGACCCCTACAGTACCTTCCCAATAACCTCAGGGGAAACAGTTGATTATTGATTCCAAAGGGAGGAGGTGGGAATTGGAGAGAGACTATGCAGATTAATAAAAGCACAGAATCATTCTTTTTTAAATTAGAATTCTGACATCAGCAAATCCTGGTTGTCTGTAAGACACCTTCCATTGCTACCTGCTCTGAGTCCCAGCTGGGCTGCATGTGTGGTTTAAGAGTAGAGAGGGACAGACTTCTCTCTCCCAGCTTCAAAATAGGATATTCTCAAGCAGTGATTCTTAAACTTTTGTGTACATCAGAATCACCTGGAAAGCTGGTTAAAAACTGGTTGCTGGGTCCCACATCCAGAGTTTTTCATTAAGTTTCAAGGTGATGGCCTGAGAATTTGCATTTCTGACAAGTTCCCAGGTAATTCAAGTGTCCACAGACTGGCAGTATTAGTATCACAGGACGATGTGGTAATTCTTAGACCCCAGGCCACACCTAGTAAATATCAGTCCCTGGGGGTAGTGCCTAGGAATCTGTTTTAACTCCAGATAATTGTGATGCACCCTCAGGTTTGAGAAGCGCTGCTCTGAAAGGCTGGCCTCCTGCAGCACAGTTAATAATTTACTGTAACGTGAACCACAACAAACAATGCTTTGATGACTGTCTGGAGTTGTGCAGCTACTATGGATGGGGTCACCACCCTCACGAGTCTTTTTCCAGAACAGGCTTTTTATCCCTTTAGGGTGTAACACTTGAAATTATGGCCCCAGAATCCATACGGCAAAAGACCTCATGGACATCGGCAAATTAATTGGAGCAGGTGGCTCTGTGTCAGTCCTGTTGCTGGTGCTGCCCTGACTTCGTGTGATCCTTATTAATTGTGCAGGTTTCTGGTTCTTAACTTGGCCTGTCTTTGTGTTTACGAAACACGTTGAGCTGCTGGGAAACTAAGGAATTGAATTTAGGGTTCTCTAGTGACAGAGAAGCACATCTAAGATGAGCCTTTCTCGAGAGCCAGGCAGTGACTTTGTGGGAAGGTAGCCTCTGTGGAAGTGGGAACAGCTTCCAGGCCACCTGTTGCCGTCACTGGGTGAGGTGGTTGCGTAAATAGCAGGATTTCAACTCAACAGAGCATTAAAATCAGAACAAAGGACAAAGAACTAGAAGAGAGACAGAACAGGTTTCCTGGAGAGTGGAGCTCAGTGAGGTGATTACAGTGGATATAGGACCATAGGCGGATGGTTTCTAGCGCTGGAGGATTGTTGAAGACCCCAAGCAGCAGATCCTGGTTGGGTATGGTCCTGCTCTGAGCTGGATGAAAAAAGTGAAGGTCTAGTATGCAGCCCTTGTTACCCAAGGCTACTAAATGGTGATTGTTATTTTGTTTTGTCTTAACCAAAATGACATAACCAACAATGGGCCCTTTCCTGTCTCCCAGGAAGTTTTCTGTAGTGAACACCTGTGCTGTGTGTACCTTTGGGGCCATGTTACTCTCACTCATACTACCACAGTTTAAAATGACTTCGAAAAAACAAATACTGGACTCTGGTCATTGATGTACATACTAACGTGTTCAAAGGAAGTTTACCGAGGCCTGCAATTCATTTTGAAATACGGAAAAAGTAAGATTGGATGGATAGAGGGATGGCTACATGGGCATACATGTGATGAAGCAAGCACCATAAAATATTAATGGTGGTTTTTTACGCCCGTAGGTATAGCACGGTTATTTGTGATAGCCAGGAGATGGAAGCAATATAAACGTCCATCAATGATGAATGGATCAATAGAGTGTGGTATATAAAGACAATGGAATATTATTCAGCCTTTAAAAGGAAGGAAGTGCTGACACTACAACATGGAGGACATTATGCCAAGTGAATTATGTTAGTCACAAAAAGACGAATACTGTACAATTCTACTTATACGAGGTATCTAGAGTAATCAAATGCGTAGAAACAGAAAGTAGAGTGGTAGTTGCCAGGGGCTGGAGAGGGGAGGAAATGGGATTTGTTGTTTAATGAGCATAGTGTTTCCATTTTGCAAGAACTCTCACTGAACCATCCTGAACTAATCAGAGTGGGCAAGGAAAAGCGATGTATTGAGTGGCTTGGGCCTGCCCATCTGATGTAACAAGAGACATAAGATAAACTATTCTGGAGCTGGAGGCAGGGTCTGTCCCTTTGGGACCACATGTCTGCTCTATGTGGGGTGCTTTTCCAAGGCAAATTCAGAGGGGAATGGATGCTGGATGGGCAACCAGTGCAAGCCCCATATACAAGCCTACTAAAGTATAAACACCTGGGCATGAGGTGGTTTTCTTGTCCACAGCATCTGGCACAGTTTATTGTCACCTATTTGCTGAATTCAGGGATGAGTAAGTTTGACAACACAGATGG